GTACATATAATTATTTTGATTATTATGATGTAGAAGATAACATTTCTGAAAAAATTTTTATTAAAAATGTATAATAACATTTTGATTATGTATTTAATTAGTTATTTTTTACTAATTATCGCATGAATAAATATTAAGCAATATTTTAAGAAGAATAAACAAAATATCAAAATTTCCAAAATACAAATCATTGAAAGATATTTTTTTAAATGAGGGTAAATCCATCGAATTTTTATTTGAAGAAAATATTTTAGAAAAACCAACAAATTGTTCAGAATGTAATAAAAGGATTTATCGTTTAGATAAAAGATTTTGATATAAAAACAGATATTGTAGAAAATCTGGTTCGATATTCAAAAATTCATTTTTTTCTAATAATCATTTAAAATGTGACGATACTTTGTACATCGGATATCTTTGGTTAGCAAAAGTTTCTACTAACTCAATATTGAAGATGACGGGTCATTCGCCTAATACGATAACTATTTAGATTTTTTTCGAGAGTTGGTAATTGATATGTTAAAAGATGAAATGAGTAAGATAGGTGGTAAGGATGTGATAGTGCAAGTAGACGAATCTAAATTTAGTAGACGTAAATATAATCATAGATGAAGGATGAATGTTGTTTGGGTTATCGGTGGGATTGAAATTACTGATAAAAGTGATGTTTTTTGATAACGATTGAAAAAAGAGATAGTGAAACTATTCAAAAAATTTTAAACGAATACATCGAGCCAGAATCGATACTTTACACTGATTGTTGGAGAGGGTATAATGGTGTTGAGGATGGGTTAAATGTACAGCATAAAATGGTGAATCATTCAAAGCATTTTACAGATCCGGTTACAGGCGTGAATACAAACACTATCGAAGATATTTGGAATAGTGTGAAATTACAAATAGCATCACGTCATATGTGTAAGGATTTGATAAAAAAACATCTATTTGAATATATCTGGCATAGGAAAAACAAAAATAATTTATGAGAAGCATTTTTGGATGCGTTACGTACAACTGCATATCCATCTAATTAATTTATTCTAGAATTTTTTTGTACGATGTGATTAATTTTAAGTGATATTTAATAAATACGTACCTGATTTTCCCATTATTCTATATATCATCCTTATTTTTATATATTAAATCTTAAATTTATAATAAAATAATCTTTCAATTATAAAAATATTATATTAATATCTTTAA